CCTAAACATTCCAAAGAACACCATTCACTTCCTGCTGAACCACCTTGAACGCCGTGATGTCGACTGAACTGTAAAGTGCAGGACCATTGAACCAATTTGAACATTCATCATCATTTCATCCGGTTCAAGTTGGAACAGGACGGCAACGTCGACGACCTTCGAATTGAATGGCTACCAAATTGCGCTCGTTCGCATACCAGGTATGTCTTGTCGTCTCGGAACTCCGACCATTGAGGCTCACTGCGACTTGTAGAGCGTGTTTTCTCTGGTCAAGGAGGTTTCCTCCTCCAGCAAATCTCCGTATAGTTTTATGCTTCTGATCCATTCTCATCCTGACAATTTCTGCTACGCAGGATTCATAATGATATCGATTTGAGCGTCCATTATGAAAACATGTCCGCAGATGATTCCATCTCTGCTCTCGTGAAAAGTCTGGAGTCGCGCAAAAAATTACTACAAGTTCTTTGAGGTGTTCCTAGGTGGAAATATAAATTGACGCGTACTTTAGGCAGCCACAGCGCTCAGGATTTTCGACAATCCGAGGCTCCGGGATGCGCTCCGCGAAGACGAGGAGCGAATAGCAAAAAGCATTCTGTCTATCCTCAGCTCTGAATCCGAGCGCGCAGCTGTGTTGAAGCTTGAAGGCGATTCTGCTCAAAACTTTCTCGATGTTGTTCAAAATGTTGGTGTCCCCCCGCTGTTAGATATTAGCCTAGCTAATTTCTGCGAAGACGCTCGACAGAGGTTTTTTAATTGAAAAGGAAAATAATTCCAAGGCTCGCCGACTAATACTCAAACTTTCCGAGGGATGCGACAGGCTTCCCTCGTCTTTATTTATCACTGGGGTCACCGGACGCAATGAACACGCGATATTTGGTGGAGGGTTTGGCGACATATATCAGGCGTCTTATGCCGGAAAGACGGTTGCGCTGAAGCACATACGAACTTTCCATAGAAATGCAGAACAGCGGCGAATTCGATTGGTACGTCCTCATCGACTTTTCCGAGATTTTTCATTTGATGCGACACTTTGCGCAGCAATTCTGTCGGGAGGCACTCGTCTGGCAGCATCTGCAGCATTCTTTTATTCTGCCTTTTATTGGGATTGATCGCGAGACCTTTCCGTCGTCCCTTTGCATGGTTTCTCCCTGGATGGAAAATGGGACCGTTTTAAAATATTTGAACGATCATGGGAGAGCTAACGTGGACAAATTAGTTGGTTTTCTCGTTCATATTTAAGCATCTTCTCACTCTCGATGTCAGCTGTCAGAAATTGCCCAAGGCCTGCAATACCTTCACTCACGAAATGTTGTGCACGGAGATTTACGTGGCGTATGATAGCTGGTTTATTTCACTTATCGCATATTGACCACGTTTAACATAGGCAAATATTCTCATAACTCACGAATGGAGCGCATGCTTGGCAGATTTTGGCCTGACATCCTTGTCCGACGCAACTACAGCGACTCATACTTCCCACAGAGCTGGGAGCATTCGCTGGATGGCACCGGAGTTGATTGACCCCGAGCGCTTCGGGAACCCATTTCTTCGAACACCTGCAACTGATGTCTACGCTTTCGCGTGTGTCTGTCTGGAAGTAAGCGTTTTTTCTTCTCTTTTCTTTCCGTTCTCACCCAGCCAGTTATACACCGGACGACCTCCGTTCGCAAATTTATCGGAAACCGCAACCTTACTTCGGGTTATAAACGGCGATCGGCCTGAACGGCCTTCCTGCGAACCGGCAATGTCAGATGCACTTTGGCAACATGTAAACGAGTGCTGGGCACAAGATTCCGCCGCACGGCCCGCCACCGACGTTGTGTTGCAGCAAATTCAAGGGCTGAATTATGTCTCATGGCTTGCTACGCAGACTACGCAGCTCAATCCCGATGTAGACACCACGAATGAAAGACCTGCCCGGCCGTGGAGACAATTCTACAAGGCTCCTCCACCCTCGACAGACGATGTCGTCTTAACCCCAGCGTCGGACGCAGATATCATGAGACGTTTGAGACGGTCTGTTTCCCATGGCGATCCGAAGACGATTTATAGTATGACGAAGAAGCTCGGGCAGGGGTGCGTTGTTCACTTCCTCATGAAGTTCTTTAACGTACGGTGTAAATACAGTTGGTCGGGACCAGTGTACCAGGCCACGGAATCGACGACAGGGAGAATCGTCGTGATTGCGCAAAACGACATGTCGAATCAGCTAAAACACCTCTTCCTGAACCAGCTCTCGGTGATGAAGGAGTTGGATCATCCAAATATCATCAGCTTCATCGAGAGCTACCTTGTCGAACCCGAAGAGCTGTGGATTGTCACGGACTATGTGGAGGGCGGTGAGTTGGCGGAAAATTATCCGAAATAACAGAATGGTGGAGGACCAGATGAGCAACTTGGGCTTAGGGCCATTGCTGGCGCATGGCGGTACTCGTCAGGCCTTCGGCTTAGAGTATTTAATTTTTCACCAGTAGTGTATAGTAGATATTCAAGCTTGGGCTTGAGGGGGGGGGGTGTATATTATATTCATCAGGTCCACAATATGAACAATGAGTTTACTGAAAGGATACATGGGGTACTGTAAGGGTGGCTATCCTTACAGAGATCCTCAAGATACCAACAGAGGGCAATCTATTCATGTCAGGGCCATTTCTGGCACATGGCAGTGTTCATCAGGCCTTCGGCTTTTCTATTTTTATTTCAACATGGATGATTTGATTTCAATTGACGAGTTGTTCAAATCCAAGCAAGAAAAAACCCAATCCCTCAGAGTCCTGTGCAAGCTTGAACATTTCATTTCAATCCAAAAGAAATATCCCCAATCCCTCAGAGTGCTGCGCCTGCTTGAACACTTCATGCTTTCATTCAGTCCAAAAGAAATATCCTCAGTCCCTCAGAGTGCTGTGCCTGCTTGAATATTTCATTTCAATCCAAAAGAAATATCCTCAATCCCTCAGAGTGCTGCGCCTGCCTGAATATTTTATTTCAATCCAAAAGAAATATCCTCAATCCCCCGGAGTGCTGCACCTGCTTGACAACTTCATGCTTTCATTCGATTCAGAAGAAATATCCCCAATCCCTCAGAGTGCTGCGCCTGCTGATAGCCTCGGGTTTACTCAGATACTGTACCAAGTTGTAGGGGAGCAACGGTCACGGTAACGGGCCGCCCGTTGCGTTGCCTTATTGTCGGGCGGTCACGGTCACGATGAGGTTGGTTGCCTTCAAAAATCGTGACAAGACGAGGAAATTTCTGATTTTTTCTCCAGAGCTGCTGATGACGCTCTAATGACTCCAGTAGTTTCGTGGAACAGATTATCTACACCACAACTCTTTCAATCCAACTTGGGCTCCCTTGAAAATGCAACCAAAAAGACTTCATGGTTGCTTCTTCAGGAAACGGTCACGCTCACGGTGGTGCCTGTTGCCTCAAAAAATGGCAACGCCTCTGTCACGATCCTCGGGGCGTTGCTCCCCTACAACTTGGTACAGTAGGCAGTTGGGTCTCGGAATTTGGTCTCTTGAATGAAGGTATATATCCAAAAAATGACCCAGATATGTTCCCAAAAGTTACTGGGTGATTTCGTTCCTCACCGAATTCTTTTGTCGGGAGCCTCCCGAAACGGCAATAGTTGGCCTAGTCGGCCACCCACCTAAATCGTGGGTTTACACTCGTACCATGCACCCGATTGTCCCCAAAGCAATTCAAGTGATTCAACTACACGTCTCAACACTCTCAAACCGTATGTCTGAAGTATAGCTACCAGTATCAGATCCTTTCTGCGACAAGTATGGTGGCCAGAGGTGCGGTGTGAACGAAATGGTGTCTGCAATTTATGGAGCACAGTTTCACCAGGATTAAGGTCCGTATAACTCCACAAAAAATTTCTAAACATATTGATGCTCGATTATCACTGCTCTCATGCACACAACCCCTCGAACAAAATCCATCTTTCTGCCCAACTAAAATTGGATGATTGTGGGTGGTGGCCCTTCGTGAACGGCAAGGTGCGTAGATACGGGGCCATCGGCCAGTCGAGGGACAGGGTGAGATGTTATAAACATACCATAATCTGACCAACAGGTGGTCTGCCACCGAGCCTTCCTCAGTCCTTTTAACCCTCCCCAAAACGTCGAACAGGCTATGTCTGTGTTATTCTCTGGATATTCTGTACTGGCAAGCAGATGCGGACCATCCAGTACCAAGCCCTTCCCACCTCGCTCTACACCCTTATTTCATTGTGCAACTTTCTCGGGAATGCAAAAGAGAACGAAATGCAACGACACCGGAAATGGCTCGGACCTGAGTCGAACAGGCAGTGTCTGCATTATTCTCTTCAACAATCAGAATGGAAAGCAGATGCAGACCCACCACTACCGAACCTTTCCGACCTTGCTCCGTACCCACATTTTATTGTAGGAATTTCTGGGCGGAACGACAGAAAAAAAAATATCGATGAAAACCATCCAAGGCTCGGGCCTGAGTCGAACAGGCTTTATCTGCATTATGCTCTGGAATCACACTTCATGGAAAGCAGATGCAGACCATCCACTATCGAGCCTTCCTACCTCCCTCTACACCAATGTTTTAACGTAGAATTTTCTGGGGGAATGAATGACAGGAGAAAAAAAAAGCGCAGCAAAACTTGAGCGAAACTGGCAATGACTCGGGCCTGAGTCGAACAGGCTTTGTCTGCATTATTAGCTTCTACAAACAGCATATCAAATGGAAAGCAGATGCAGACCATCTGCTACCGAGCCTTCCTACCTCTCTCTACACCTTCATTATTCCGCAGGATTTCTGCAGCGAGAAAAAAGAGATGTACGAATAATGGAATGGCTCGGGCCTGAGTCGAACAGGCTTTGTCTGCATTACTGACATATCGTCAAATAATGGAAAGCAGATGCAGACCATCCGCTACCGAACCTTATTCCTTCTCCTAGCACCTTCCTTAACCAAGGCAGTTTATTGGGATGATGAGAAAAACCAGCGCAACCAGCAATGGCTCAAGCCCGAGTCGAACAGGCGATATCTGCGTCAATATATGAATTCCTCTCCTTCTATTGAGGGCAGATGCAGACCATCCACCACCGAGCCTTCCTACCTCCCTCTGCACTCTCATTTTATGGTAGGATTTCTGCAGCGAGAAAAAAGAAATGCGCGATGAAGTGAATGGCTCGGGCCTGAGTCGAACAGGCTTTATCTGCATCATCGTAGAATTTTCTGGGGGAATGAATGAGAGGAGAAGAAAAAAAATCTGAGTGAGAAATGGCTCGGCCCGAGTCAAACAGGCGCTGTCTGCATCGATATATGCACTCCTGCCATTGAGGGCAGATGCAGACCATCTGCTACCGAGCCTTACCCACCTTGCTCTGCACCCTCATTTTATTGTAGAATTTTCTAGGGAATATTAATGACAGAGAGAAAAAAGAGATGTACCAACAATGGAATGGCTCGGGCCTGAGGCGAACAGGCTTTGTCTGCATTGTTTGCTCGCACACTTGTGGTGGAAAGCAGATGTGGACCATCCACTACCGAGCCTTTCTCCCTCCCTCCACACTCTTGTTTTACTGTAGGATTTCTGCAGCGAGAAAAAAGAAATGCGCGACGAATGGGTCAGGCCTGAGTCGAACAGGCCTTGTCTGCATTATCCATCCACACATTTAATGGAAAGCAGATGCAGACCCTCCGCTACCGAGCCTTCCCTCGCTTACTCTGCACAATTATTTTATTGCAGAATTTTGTGGGGGGATGGAAAGAAAGGGAAAAAAATTCAGCAAATGATAAACATGGCTCGGGCCCGAGTCGAACAGGTGATGTCTGCAACATGGTAATATTTGATGAAGAAACCACAGAGAGCAGATGCGGACCATCCACTACCGAGCCTCATCCACCTCGCTCTGCGCTCTCATTTTATTGTACTCGCTATCACAAAAAGTAACCGGAAATTGAGTTTTCATGGCATCAATTTGTAGATTTTTTGGGTTCCAACACGGTGGGTGTGTTTTTGAGGATATATGACCTCCCTTCACGCAACCATCGGCCTTGAAATTAGTGTCTATGTGCTCAATAAATGTACAAATTTGATCGCACGTGATTCTGCCTCAAACCGCCAAAACTGTTTGAAAACACGCCCGTATACACGCTTTAGATGCCTATTTTGTGCCGGGGAAATATTCAGGGTATGTTTCACACATTTCTACCAGCATGGACAAGGTTAGGAGGCTGATGTATGGCGAGAATAAGCCAAATACTCAGGAAGTCATTTTGGCTCATTTTGGTAAATTCTTTTCACAACATGTTTGGCTTAATTTTGCATCTGAGTGGTTTAGTCTTGAACAAAAGCCAATTAGGACACTCTGGAGAGACTATTACAGCTATTTAAATTACCAATTTGGAGAGATTATGTTTTTAATTGGGGTTTACCCGATGCATGTTGCAATTTTGGGGGGTAATGTTGCAGCACTGCTTGCTGGCTCATTCCATGGGAATATCATTGGTTTTAGACCTCTATAATGAGGCCAAGATGCATGAGAGCCCACTCCATGTTCAATCCCCTCTCTATTTAGTCTCAGATTATTTATTTGAGGACAATGTTCTGGGCGGATCGTGAGATGACATAATTGCCATCAGCATCGCTGATCTCTCCCCGGCTCTAGACAGTGCCAGTGATCCCATTCATCCAAAATAAGTTGGGGAATCTGCGTGTAGGATCCTCAGGTGTCTGTCAATAGTTGGTGGTTGAGCTCAGTTCATGTAATCTCCTGTAATAAATCGATTTCCGGTTACTTTTTGTAATAGCGAGTAGTATTTCTGCAGCTAGAAAAAAAGAGATGTACGAAGAATGGAATGGCTCGGACCTGGTTCGAACAGGCTTTGTCTGCATTATCCTACGGAACACAAGAAATGGAAGCAGATACCTCCATCTGCACTCTCATTTTATTGTGAAATTTTGGGACAATGAATGAGAAGAAAAAATGTACGGAAAAGAACAATGGCTCAGGCCTGAGTCGAACAGGCTATGTCTGCATTATCTTATGAAACAGACAGGGAATGGAGAGCAGATGCGGTCCATTCGCTACTGAGCCTTCCTACCTCCCTCCGCACCTTTCTTTTATTGTAAAACTTTCTGGGGAATAGCAAAAGGGACAAAAGACATAGGCAACCAGTAATGGCTCGGACCTGAATCGAACGGGCTGTCTGCATTACTCTGGTGACAATTTGAAATGGAAAGCAGATGCAGACCATCCGCTACTGAGCTTTATTCCCTCTCTCTGCGCCCGTGTTTTATTGTAGAATTCCCTGGGGAATGGCAAAAGGAAAAAGAATTGTGGTGAAACCATTCATGGCTCGGGCCTGAATCGAACAGGCTTTGTCTGCATTATTGCATTGCATTGAAAAATGAATGGAAAGCAGATGCAGACCATCTGCTACCGAGCCGTATCCACCTGTCTCTGCGCCCGTGTTTTATTGCGGATTTTTTTAGGGGGAATGGCAAAAAGATTGGACGGTAAGGATGCATGGCTCGGGCCTGAGTCGAACAGGCTTTATCTGCATTATTCTCTCGACAATTTGAAATGGAAAGCAGATACGGACCCTCCACCGAGCCTTTCCTTCCCTCGCTCCGCACCTTTATTTTATTGTAGAATTTTCTGGGGCACTGAATGTCAGGAGAAAAAAAAATGTACGAGAAAGCGCAATGGCTCGGGCCTGAGTCGAACAGGCAACATCTCCATTTTTACGCATATGCATATCAAATGAATGACAGAAGACAAAAAAAAAAAAAAAGGCGCGAAAGGAGCTATGGCTCGGGCCTGAGTCGAACAGGCAGTGTCTGCATAGTTCCCTTGAACACCAAAAATGGAAAGCAGATGCAGACCCTCTGCAACCGAGCCTTATCCCTCCGCCCTGCATCCGCATTATATTGTAGGATTTCTGGGGAATGGCAAAAAGAAAAAATGAACAGTGGCAGATTTATGGCTCGGGCCTGAGTCGAACAGGTGATATCTGTGTTATCCTTGTACACCTTTAATAGAAAGCAGATGCGGACCGTCCGCTACCGAGCCTTATTCCCTCCCTTCTAGCCTTGAATAAATGGGCCACTTTTCTGGGTGTAGCTTTGAACTGCCTTGGAACGGCTGACTTCTGATAATCTTCTCTCTTGCCTAGCTGAATGTTTGAGTTGAAATTTCAGGCAGGGAGGATCCACGAAGTGGCAGTGCGGGATGTCGAGTTGGTTGTAACCGCAGCTTATTAGCCAAGGTAGTCATAGGGAATGAAATAACAAAAGAGATAGAGAGAAGACTCTGATGGCTCGGGCCTGAGTCCAATGTCTGCATTATTCTCTGGAATACACACTTCATAGAAAGCAGATGCAGACCATCCGCTACCGAGCCTTTCTACCTCCTTTTAAATATTTCTCACCACCGAGAATTTCTAGCGGGATTGGCAAAAAGAGAAGCGAAACCAACTATGGCTCGGGCCTGAGTCGAACAGGCTATGTCTACATTAACATTTTCACGCATCTACATCTTGAATGGAAAGCAGATGCAGACCCTCTGCTACCGAGCCTTCCTACCTCTCTTTCAATGTTCCTCACAAGCCAGCCTTTCAGAGCGAATGAAAAAGAAATCCGAGACAAAGATGCAATGGCTCGGGCCTGAGTCGAACAGGCTCCCTCTGCATAATGTTGGATGCAATGCTCATAGCAAGCAGATGCGGACCCTCCACCGAGCCTTATCTACCTTGCTCTGTACCCTCAGTTTATTATAGAATTTCTTGGGGGGAATGGTAAAAAGAGTGTAATAACCCCACATGGCTCGGGCCTGAGTCGAACAGGCTTTATCTGCATTATGCTCTATAATCCCTTCGAATGGAAAGTAGATGTGGACCCTCCACTACCAAGCCTTTCTACCTCCCTTACTCTGCACCTTCATAACCCAGAATTTTTGGAGGGGAATAAAAATAATCAAAGAGTTCCCGCCCTTGGTATAACTTACCTCCCAAAATCTGTTTAAATAAATTATTTTTGGACGAGGACCCAGCGACTCCCGGATCCGCAGTCACTCAGTCTCCAATTTTATTTCCAAAGCCGCTCGGCGCTTGGAGTATTTTTTTAAATAGAAGAGAGGAGACCCGATCAATACCGGTAGATGGGTGATTGACAAGCGGAATTGACACCACGGAAGATCGAGATCAGAGTTACATATATCAATTGGGATGTAAGTTATAAGTGGACGGGTGGATGGAAGGGAGATCTACCGTAGATGGGTACCAGTGTCAGGGTGTGGGGAAGTCTACAAATTACAGATATGTCCTACCGTTAACGTTCCTCGAAGAGTCGCGGCACGGATGAAATTCATTTTACCTCCTCCAATCGAACATTCATTTACACCTTTTTTCTGTTCCCCGGTGGGAATTCGAAGTTGCGAAGGTTGATGGGATAGATAGCAGCGGTGATTGAGAGGGCACGAGGCGTCACATGAGCGGGGTATGCAATAATAGGCTACGCCCAAAGGGGTTATGAGAGCGGAAAAGGGAATAGCACCCGGGCTTGGCCGGAAAGGGAAAGAGGTACTTTGGTTGTTACTACCCGCCACCGACACTGCTATGGACGACGTGCCGCACAACGACGCTCAGCAAGAGCACGAATATGAACATGGGCTGAGGCATGCAAGGGGTTTCCTGGGGGGGTTGCCTGTGTTACCTCTACCCTCGCCCTTACCTTTACCTGGACATGGACCTGGAGCAGGACCAAGACACGAAGCAGGAGGAAAAGCACACATCCTCTCCGCCCCCCAATTCGCCGCCCTCCACACCGCCCACATCCTCGCACACCCGCCCGACGGCGTGCTCTTTCCCTTCCTCCACGGGCTCGAGGGCGACAACCACGCGCAGAATACGTTCTTCGAGGGCTCTCGCGGCGACGCAGCTGCAGGGAGGAGGAGGAGGAAGGCGCCGAGGTTTCGGGGGCTGGTGTGGGTCGTGGCGGAGGAGGAGGAGGAGTTGCCTCGTACGGCGGGTGGGGTGGGCGAGGAGGAGGGGGAGTATGATGATGAGGATGAGAGCGACGAGGAGGATGATGAGGAGAGCGAGGAGGAGGACGAGTTGGTTGGGATGGATGTCGACGTTGATGGGGTGCGCATCGCTGGGGAGGAAGGCCCGCCGATAGCGACGCTCGAACAGCAAGAGGACGGCAAGCATATGCATCCCGTACACCATCGTCTGCAAGCGCTTCAGACGAGCGGACTCCCGCCTGGGACGCCTAGTACCGCCGCTTCGGACGACAGCGAGCGCTTCTTTGCGGCGCAGACGCCGACGACGGCGCTGGGGGAGGACGTGCAGATGGAGATGTGAGTCCTTTTTACTTCGTTTCACTTGACTTTCTTTCTTTCGTTCGTTCTTGTTGTTTTTCTATTGTGTCTACTGGGCGGGACGACAAGGTCGAGGTTGCTGCGACTTGACATCCATTCTCCATTCCTGCTTTCTACTTCTACTTCTACCCTTTCTACTCCTTCTGTTTCTGCTCCTGGGACAGCCTACTTTCTCTTGAGCGCTCGGACTCGCCGATGCATCCCTCTTCCTCCTATGCCTATCCATCTCTCGACGTCGGAGCGGGAGTTGGAGTTGGAATGCGTCTGTGCGGGTGCTGCGGGTGTAGGGCGGACGCCCCCCTTCATACTCGCGTGCTCGCGTGCTCAAGTGCATACCTTCGCTTTCATTCACGCTGTCTTGTCTCGCATGCTCCCTCATCCCTAGCACTTGGACTTGGGTTGCTGCATGCTCGAGTCCTTCCATTCCATTCTGGCGTTCACATTATCGTATCGTACATGCCGTACATCCCCCCTTCGACTCGGCCTCTCACCGTCCCCGCGCATCGCCTTCCCCTTCTCCCCGAGCATCCCCTTCCCGCGTGCTTTCGCTTTCGCTTTCGTATTCGAAGCGAAGCGGGCTGTGCGGACCTTTAACGTGCGCGTGCGGTGCTGCTCGTGCGCGAGAGCGAGAGCGAGTAGATGGTGCTCCCGAGAGCGAGAGCGAGAGCGAGTTAGGCGTTGGATTGCGTGCTCGTTGCTCGTGTGCCCAGCGCCTAGCGCCTGGCGGGTGTAGAGCGGCCGCGCGAGCAGAGCCGAGAAGCGAGCAGATTGCATTGGATGGGATTGGGGGGTTCGGTCGTGTGCCGGGGCGCCTCATTCGCGTTTCGTTTTCCTCTTATTCCTGCATCTCTCTCCTGTCTCCTGTCTCCTCTTCTCCTCTTCTCCTGGTCTCCATATAATACATTATATGCACATGCTGACTCGTCTCGTATCGTAGATCCCTCCCCCCACCCTCCACCCCGCCAACCACCTCGACGCTCTCCGTCTCCTCAGGCGACTCCAGCTCGGGCTCGGGCTCGGGCTCGAGCAGCTCCTCGTATTCGTCGGGTTCGGTGCTCGACGCCTCCTTGCCCGGTCCGCCTACGCATACATCCTCGCCCTCACATCCCGAGCAAAACGTCGATGGACAAAACACGACGAATGGTAAACAAGAAGCGAATCCGAATGGGAACGCAAGACACCCCCCAGAAGAAGAGTGGGACCCCGCGCGCCCACCGCTGTTGACGTGTACGTTCCGCGCGAGGGAGTTGGTTAGGCGGGTTGGGACGGGTGGAGCTACGGGGGCTGAGGTGAGTTTTTTTTTTTTTTTTGAGACGTTTTTTTGGAGAGCGGGGGTGTTTTTTTTTGGAGAGTGGAGAAGTGGAGTTTTTGGGTGGAACGGGGAGTTTTTATTTCTATTTTTCGTGCGTTTTTGGAGAGAAGGGGAAGGAGCTGCTGCTTGACCTCGCACTCGCACAGGAAGGAAGTTGGCCATGGGCATGGTCGCGTGCCGCGATACGATGCGACATTTCCTGACGTCGCTTCTGCTTCTCTTTCGGGTCGTCAGTTCTTCGTTTCTTCTGTGTAGGAGGTGTCTTCGTTCTTGCAGGAGGTGTGGCGTGGATACTGGCGTTGCAACGCTTGATATGTCGAGGTGGTCGTGTGCCGTCGGCTCTTTGCATTGACGTCCTCGCGTTCCACGTGTATTTTGTTCGACGCCTTCGTTTTGCATTTTGAGTCCGTTTTCTTCTTCGATTTCTTTGCGCTGCGTCGATTTCATGGCGTGCCGTCCTGTCCTTTCCCTTTTGCGGGCTGGGCGGAGGTGTGTGATGTGGGTTTTTTGTATTTTGTGTCCCATGCGTGCGTGGAGGTGGTCGTGTAGCAGTTTTTGCTTTTCTTTCATTTTCCTGCATCTTTGTTGCCTTTTCTTTTCTTTTCTTTTCTTTCGTACGAGGTCCGTGCATTGGAAGTCGCGGGTCGTGTGCGCAGTCGTGTGCGCGAGCTTGGTACACGTCGTGCACGCGAACCCTCTCCCCGCCTCCCGTCCCACCTCCTTTTTTCTCTTATTTCTCACTTTTTAACTCTTACTTCTTGTATCCATCGTATCGATATTTGAGACGCTGACACATGTCGATTTATCTAGCGCCCCGTGCTCGTCCGCACGAACGGCGCCGCGCACGACCAGGCGCGACATCAAGGGCAAGCGGGACAAGAGAGGACAAAGGAGGAGCAAGCCCAAGAACAGGAAGAGTGGGAGTTCCGCCCCGCGCGCGTGCCGGATGGGATTTCGTTAAGGAATTTCGGGATTCAGGTGGTGCGTTTTTTCGTCTACGATTTTTTTATCCGGATCTTTTGGGCGCTGCTCGCTTTTATCTTCTGTTAATCGAACCCATTCCCCCTCCTCCTTCCCCTCTCCCTCTACCACAATTACGCCAAGGTCTCGTTCCCTCCCACCTTTTGCTTTCCACCATTCCGTCTTCCTTCCCTTCCTTTCCTCGTATCTCACCTCACGCTAACCCCAACCTCACTCACAGCCAATCTACGCCACGCTCTCCGACATCGTGCTCTACTCCCCGCGCGGGCTCTCCTCGCCCGCACTCAAGGCGCAGGCGGCGCGCTTTGTTAGTGCGGTGGCGAGGAAGAGGAGGGAGAGGTGTAAGGTTTTGGGGATTGGTGAGTGCCTTGCTTTTGGGAAAAAAAGGGAGAGGAGGGCTGATTTGTGGATGTTTTTTAGACCCCGACACACCCTCCCCCGACGCGCCGCTCGAGTACAACGTGTTCGTGCTGGATGCGGACGCGCGGACGTTACGGGAGACGGTGCCGGAGCTCATGATGCGGGTATTCGAGGGCGGGGACCGACGGGGCGTAGGGATGGGGATGCACGTACCTGAGCAAAGCGAAGGGATGGACGTCGACAGCGACGCGGACGCCGCACACCTAGAGGCGCACGTCCCCGGCGCGCACCCCGACCCACACACCACACCCTCCGACGCGCCCGTAGCGGTCCCCATCCATCCCGAGGCAGACGCCACTTGCGCGCCCAACACGGTCGACTTTGGGCAGCGCGAGCGCGACGAGATGCGCGAGCTTACGCGCGCGAGTGAGATCCTCAGTGTCTTCCCGCACGCCACCGCGGATGAGGAGCGGGAGGAGCTGGCGACGACGACGACCGCGAGCCATTGGCGGCCCGCCGTCGGGCAGGTGTTCCTCGGCAACTCGGGGGACGTGCCGCTGGGCCCTGGGGGCGAGGTCGGGGGCCCGGCGGAGGACCCGTTCGCGTGGGAGGGGACGAACGCGCCGAAGGACGGGATGGGGTACGATGTGTGCGTGGAGTGCCATGAGATGGCGCCGTTCCCGAGTCTCGCGCACCTGCGCGCGGCGGAGGATCATTTGGCGATGCTGGATGGGATGTGGGATGAGCGGGTGCGGGCGGAAGGAGGGGAGGGGAGAGTGCGTCCGCCGCCGAACGCGGGCGCGGTGATACACCTGCCGTTCCCCAGCGCGCCGTCGAATACGGCGCAGACGATGAATGCGTTGCTGCCTGTGATTGCATTC